AGAGAAGGCCATGCTGCCCAGGCCCAGAGGGCAAGAGGAAGAGGATTGATTGCCAGGTGCTGCCGAAAGGGAGAGGGCCCGTCAAGCTGCCGAGACAGAGCATTCAGGCATTGCTCGAAGAGAAGGGCAGCCCTACAGGGGTTCGAGCAAGACAGTGAGACTACGTGGCTTTCTCTGTGTATCCCCGGCTGTTCTAGATCTCACTCTGTAGACCAGGCTGTCCTCGAACTCAGAGATCCGCCTGCCTCTGCCTCTTGAGTGCTGGGATTAAAGGCGTGCGCCACTACCGCCTGGTAAATGGGCATTTTTTAATGAATCTCTTTGGCTATGTTTTAGGGAAGGAGCTGTTTAGAAATTTTCTACCTGCCACATCGCCATCTTCTTCAATGCCACCATCGTTTCTAGTCACATCGATGGCCCTGGGCCCCTGTTATCCCTTCTCTTCACCTATATTGCTGCAGTATCCTCTCTGATACATACTCTTCAGTCTTTCCCACATCAGCCAGAGCAGTCTCAGAACACAGGACTGTGGGGCGGAGCGGGGGGGGGGGGGGGGGGGGGGGGGGGGGGGGGGGGGGGGGGAGGGGGAGCGGGGAGGCTAGCCATAGTGGTGCATGCACTTGGGAGGCAGAGGCAGGCAGATCTCTGAATTTGAGGACAGCCTGGTCTACAGAGCAAGTTCTAGGAGAGCCAAGGCTACACAGAGAAACCCCATCTCAAAACAAACAAACAATAATGTAAATGTATATGTGAGGCTGGGTATAAGAGTGCATGACTATAATCCTACCATTCAGGAGGTAGAAGCCAGCTTGGACTACATAGGGAGCCTCTGTCTCTGCAATAAGTAAAATGTATAAATGTATGCTTTGTGCACATAAAAAGCAGGTTTTCTTTTTATCTGTGTTTCTCTGCCACTGAGAATAAAGCTGAAACTCCTGACCATGAGCCTCTGGACCCTGGGTCCTCTGAGCCTGCTCCCTTTCTTGCCTCATTCTGCTCCAAACACTGGGATGTCCTGTCTCTCAAGCATACTATATTCCTTCCCAACACAGCCACTGCCCAGGTCCACACTGACCCTGTCTGGTGCAGACTCCTCTCCTGGGTGATCCCTTTGGGGCCCATGGTAGCATCCCCAGCTTTGCAGTCCGTGACCACCCACTGTGGTCTGGTCCCTGGATCCCCACTCCTCCCCTTGGGAGCCCTTGTCTGTGTGGGAATCACCTGTCCCTGTATTTAGTACCTACATCTCCCAGTGACTATCACCGCGCCCCTCCATGGCACTTGCCCAGAGAAGGCCACTCCGAGGCAGTTTCCATCATTAGTCCACTTCTCAGGTGAAGTAGCCCAACTGGTGACGGAAAATAACTTGTATGTGGTTCCCCGACTTGAGAACCGGGTCTGAACCCCAGCTTCACAATTACAAAGTTTACAGGGCACACTGATTCTGTCTCTGTCTCTCTCTGTGTCTCTGTCTTTCTGTCCGGAGCTGAAACTCATGGACCCCACACATGCGCGCTAAGCGCTCCACCAGTGAGCTACATTCCAGCGCTTTTGTAACGTTACTTTGAGGCAAGGGTCACTGTGTCCACACTGTCCTCCGACTTGCAGCCAGCCCCCTGAAGACCTGGAATTACAGGTCTACACAGGCAAGCTGCTCTTCATGCAGAGACCAGATTTGTTCTCAACTCTCCTCACGTCATTCGCCGTCCTGTTCCTTCTCGTCACAGCACCACTTTAACCGTGTGACTGCGTTAGGACACTCTGGACATCCCTCCAGGCCTCCCTCTTCTCTTCCTTCCATCCCACCCTGTCTTCTGTCTCCACCACCACCTCACCCAGTGCTGACACACAGAGCAGCCCCCCAGATGGTCTCCTCATTCCCTGGCTTATTCCCCTCACATCTTTTTCCTTCCACTGCCAGAAAGATCTCCCCAGCTCATAAGTACATCATTTCATGCTCTTCTAGACATCTTCTACACCTCCCCATGGTACCTACAAGAACAATGAAAAGGCTACTTCAGGATGCACAGGAGCCTAGAGGCCCATACCTGGACCTCAGGTGCCCCAACCCCAGGAGTTAGACATGATGTCTTGTCAATGATGTCCTGTCCACACCCCACTTGGTCTAGAACTGAGGAAATCTGGACAGTAGGCCTTGTTTATACACTTCCAACATATCATACTCCTCATAGTCTTTATACATGCCATTCTTCCTCATGGCTGTCCTTCCTAGACTTATTGGATGGCCTCTACTTTGCCTTGTCCAGTTCCTGGAAGGTCCTCCTAGGCCATCCAACTTAAAGTTAGAGCCCCAGTGCCTACAACCTTCAGTCTACTCCAACCACTCCACCAGCAAATTAAAGCTCTGCCTCATCTGTTAATATGTACAGTGTCTGTACACACATCCCCCTACACACTGGTGCCATAGTCCCAGGACCATGCTAGACACATATAGTGCCTGTGCGTGCATCCCTGCATACACTGGGGCCATAGTCCCAGGATCATGCCAGACATGTACAGTGCCTGTGCATGCATCCCTGCATACACTGGGGCCATAGTCCCAGGACCATGCCAGACATGTACAGTACCTGTGCATGCATCCCTGTATACACTGGGGCCATAGTCCCAGGACCATGCCAGACATGTACAGTACCTGTGCATGTGTCCCCACCTACACCGGTGTCATAGTCCCAGGACCACACGGGACATGTACAGTGTGCTTTTGCACACTGCATCCCCATATATACTGGTGCCATAATCCCAGGACCACGGCGGGCTTGCCTGCCGTTGTTCTTGCCAGGACAGTGTCTGGTGCACAGTAGTCACTCAGAAAATATTTATTGCAGGGAAAACAAAGATATGTCTCCCCCGAAGGCCACTATAACTTTGCTTCCAAATAACTGCTTAAGAAGAGCCTGGAAATAACAGAGTAAAGTGGGCTAATGAGACAAAACCCATGGGGCAAACTCATGGATTTCAACAAAAAATTCTTGACCTTGTCATTCTCTTTCCAACAGTATCTGTAAAAAAGAAAAAGGAAAAATAAATAGAGAGAGGGAGAGAGAGTGTCTAAATGTCCCCAGCAGTCATCTCTGAGATGAGACCTTATATGCCAACGTTTTGCCTGGAGCACACTTTTACAGTGGAGTCAAAAGAGAGAGTGAATGTGAGAGAGAGAGAGAGAGAGAGAGAGAGAGAGAGAGAGAGAGAGAGAGAGAGAGATATGCTTGTGACGGAAACAGTGAACTTCATCTGTCCCTAAAGGGCCACTGTGGCCACAGGAGGAGGGGGCGGTGGTGCAATAGCGTTCTTATTAAAAGAGGAAGAGAAAAGGGGGACTAGACCTAGGTGATACCCAGGAGGAGGCAGTGCTTTGAGAGTAAGGATTTAGGCTTCTATCCCAAACCAGCTCTCAGGATTTGTTTGTTTTCTTGCCAGATTGTCTTTACAACACTTGAGTTTTCTTAACAATGAAAATGCATGGCTGACTAAGAGATGTGAAGGAGACAGCGACTCAGATATTTTTATGTGAGTCTCCTTTACAAGCTGCTGAAAGGGTTGGTCTCATGTTAGCGATGGGGTGTAAATACTGCTATCTTGGTCCTCATAATGCCCGGGAGAGTCTCGAAGCAGGCATTTTCCAAGGAATTATTTTTGGCTGCAGCTGTGGTGCTAGGAAAAGATTTCAAGTTAAACTTGGGAAACTAAAGTTTGGAACCAACTTCACACTGATAACAGCTAACTGAGCTTGAGCAAACAGCTTGCTTTCTCTAAGCCTCAGTTTCCCCCCTGAGCGTAGAGATAGTGATGTGAGCTCAAGGCTGCGAGGTAAGTGACCAGGTGCCTCTGTACTTTGCCTCACTGAATGAGCTAGCAAGAAAGCCTCGTTGAAATCAGTGTCCAAATTCTAACTAGCTGCAAACCATATAGGATAGATATAAAAGCATTTTGGAAATATAAATCAAACTGGAAAGTGCCAGGGTCTTGTCCTGGGGTCGTGAGAATGACGCACTCTGCCAGGCACTGCAGCAACGAAGTGTTAGCTCCCAGACTGTGACTCGGTGGACTTTTTTTAATTAAATATAAAAGTAATGGAATGTTTGAGATCCAGAAGACAGGCTCACAGGCACCCCAGCGGCTTTTCTGTCCACACAGTCTCTCTTCTGCCCGTGTGTGGGCTGCCTTTTCCCCTGGTAATGAGAAGCATACGAAAAATAGATGGGGGAACCCAGGGAGCACACAGGCTGTGTCTCTTCCCCCTTCCTTCCTTCCTTCCTTCTTTCTTTTTCCATTTTGTTTACAAACGTCCGAGGAACTCCCCTTTCCTTGGCATTTGTTTGCTATGGCTGCTGTTAAATCCAACTAAATATTATTATTTCAAATTCTATTGCTTACTTGTTTGTTTACAGTATTGTCAACTGGCTTTGAGCTCTCTGTCACCAGAAGAGTGAACGCCTCTGCCTCAACCACCCCAGCCAAGCAGTCAGAGCTGACTTCCCTGACATCAACACAACCAGATTGACTCCACCGTGTGCCCACACGGCACAGGAGCCGGGCAGGCTGCACAGTGGCCTGGATTTGCATTGCGAAGCATCACCGAGGTAACCAAGAGCCGGCCTCAGACATGGAGCAGGGTGGGAGCAGGCAAGCGATTCCCATCACTGTTTCTGCTCTAATAGTCAGCTGGTCTCTGCGAATGATTCCAGTGGATCGCTTTCAAAATTACTTCCATTTAATAAGTGCCTACTGTGTGCCAAGAACAGACAGGCCCTTGTTCTCAATCACTGTGCACACACCCCCAACCAATCTTCCCAATTAGTGTTACTGCATTCTAAGCAAAAGAAAACAGGATTGGAAAAGTCAGGTGGCTTCTTTAAGGTTGCATAGTCCCTCATTTCAATCCAACCCTGAAATCCTTGATAGTGACATCCAGGGCTGAGCTGATGAACTAGCAGATATGAACTGCTTCCTTCGAGAGAACTCCGCGTTTGGTTTGAACATGCACTGTCAATGGATAATTAATTTTTATTTTACCGTTCACATTTGCACGCTAAATCTTGAAAAGAAAAGAAAAGGAAGGGAGGGAGGGAGGGAGGAAGAAAGAAGTATTTCTGTTTGAGACCTGTAAGCATGGAGGGAGATGCTGGAGATGCTCAAGAACCAGTGAGGGAGCTGAGTGTGATGGCGCACGCCCTTAATCCCAGGACTCGGGAGACAGAGGCAGGTGGATCTCTGTGAGTTCAAGGCCAACCTGGTCTACAGAGTGAGTTCCAGGACAGCCAGGGCTACACAGCGAGAAGTGGACAACATCTTGGTAGCTGTGCCCGAGCTGGTTGCATTCTACACTGTGCAGGGTTTCAAAGATGGATGGACCTGTTGACAAGGAAGGTTTACCAGCCTCCACTGAACCAAACAGCAGGCAGCTGGACAGGCCACTTGTGCTGATGGCAATCTGTGGTCCCACCCCTCAGCTGCCACAGGGTCAAGGGACACCCTTAGAGTAAGGCAGCCCCAAGACTTCCCAGGATCCCTGAAGACACTGAAGGAGATAATGGTGGGTCAGTTGTTCATTTCCAGGGTTTGCGGGGAAAGATGGAGACAAAAAAAAAAAAAAAAGCAAAGGACAGAGGAAAAGATTCAGGGCAAACAGTGAGGAAAGTTCTCAGCATCCATATGGCGGCTCACAACTACCTGTTACTCCAGTTTCGGGGACCTGACACCCTTTTCTGGCTTCCGTGAGCACTAGTCATGTATGTGGTGTACAGACATACATGCAGACACGCATACACATAAAATAAATACATCTTTTAAGAAAAGTTGAACTTGACTGCAAAGCTCTGTCTACAATTTGCCCTGTGTGGAAATGAGACAACGTACCTGTCCTGACAGTCTAGTTACCCAGGTCCTGAGCAAGAGAGAGCCAGCAATTTGGAGTAGCCTGCTGCCTGGGCCCAGGGCTCCAGGCACTAAGGGTATTGAGACAGAATTCCAGAAGAGGTTTAGGGTTGCTGGCACCCAGGGACATGAGAAACAGACACACAAGGCCATGAAGACAAAGAACATTGCATCTCCATGGCCTGGCCTGCAGTAGAGATCCCTCTGTCCTCAGAAGGAACTGGTTTCTTTATGTTTGCGGTGTGTGTGTGTGTGTGTGTGTGTGTGTGTGTGTGTGTTCCCGATGCTTGACTGTTTGTTGACACAAGGTCTCGTTCTTCTCCATTTTTTCCTAACCTACCTCTTCTCTCCTTGCTCTTCTGTCCCAGTGTTTCTGGCTTCTTCAGCAACCACAGAAGCCTCCTCACTAGTCTGGATTGTTTCCAATATGCTCCGTAATGCCTCCCACCAGAGGGGTATAGTATGGGACCCTACTACTAACCCCTGGCTCATAAATCACCCTTAGCAGACAAGATAACAGAGCAATAAGGCCGGAGGAAGGGCTGAGCTCAATGGCAGAGCTCAATGGCAGAGCACTGGCCTGGTGTGTGGAGGGATGACCTCCAGGCTCAGAGCACCAGCCTAGTGTGTGGAGGGATGACCTCCAGGCTCAGAGCACCAGCCTAGTGTGTGGAGGGATGACCTCCAGCCTAGCAGAGCCTGGGGAGGGCCCGAGGCTATGCTGGGAATGTGCAAAGGAATAGAGCTTTTAAAAATGACCGAACAAGGCCTATTCTGGTCAAAAGTACACATAATGGGCTCCCAGCAACCTGAGCTTCAGAATAGGAATCTTAATATATATATATTGAAATACCTATGTTCATACAAATGCAAAGGTAACATACAAAAGGTTTTCCAAAAAACATTGACCTTGGCAAAAAATGGACCAAAAATAAATAAATAAAGTTCAACAATGAGGGAAAAGTTAAATGAATTTCTTATATCCTTAACACAAACTAAAGAAAGACTGGAGTAAGTTTACTTCAATGAAATTGGTATCAGCTGGGCAGTGATGGCAAATGACTTTAATCCCCTCACTGGGGAGGCAGAGGCAGGTGGATCCCTGAGTTTGAGGCCAGCCTGGTCTACAGAGAAAGTTCCAGACAGCCAGGGCTACACAAAGAAACCCTGTCTTGAAAAAAAAAAAAAAAGAAGAAAACAAAACGAGAGAGAGAGAGAGAGAGAGAGAGAGAGAGAGAGAGAGAGAGAGAGAGAGAGAGAGAGAGATTGAGATTGACAAGCATCTGGGCTTTGAAGTAAAGAAAAGCCAAGGACACAGACGCCAACAAAGGCATCAGGAGCTCACCTTCAATGTCTGCACCTGCAGCTTTGTTTGTGGAGCGGAGGTGTAAGGACACACAGGAGGGTGAGGACACACGGCAGTGTGCACACTGGTTACACTGGAGGGCAGAAGGAAGGAAGAGGAGACCTGACTGCTTGCGCAGTTCTGATTTTCCTGTTATCATACACAAACGCTATTAGTTTTGAAATTCCAAAAGATGGATTTAACAGAACACGATGGGAAGAAAAGAAAGGGGAAAAAGGAAAGGGGGGTGGAGGAAAGGGAAGTGGAGGAAAGGGAGGAGGGGGAGGAAGGGGAACAAGGGTGGAGGAAGGGGAGGAAGGGGAGTGAGGTGGCAGCGGTGGGGGAGGGTATCTTTTCCTTTCTCGCTCTATCTCTTGAAGAACTGTTGAGCTGTATCTCTTTTTTCTTTCTTTCTTTTTTTTTTTTTTTTTTTTTTTTTGGTTTTTCAAGACAGAGTTTCCCTGTGTAGCTTTGCGCCTTTCCTGGAACACACTTGGTAGCCCAGGCTGGTCTCAAACTCACAGAGATCCTCCTGCCTCTGCCTCCCGAGTGCTGGGATTAAAGGCCTGTGCCACCACCACCCGGCTGGGCTGTATCTGTTGAAGGCCTGCTGGGCTGCTCCCTCCACACACCCTCTATCTGTGCACATCTATTTTCTCCATATTCTCTCCTCTTAAAAGATTTCTTTAAGTTAACTTAATATTATCTATGTGTATAGGTATTTGCCTGCAGGAATGTCTGTGCACCATGTGCATGCAATGCTTGGGGAGGCCAGAATAGGGTGTTGGGTCTGATGGAGCTGAAGTTACAGACAGTTGTGAGCTTCAGACAGTTGAGTGCAAGGAACTGAACAGGTCAACTGTCGGAGCAGTGACCGAGTGAACTGCTTCACCAGCTCTTTCCCTCCGTACTCTCGGAATACTCAAGCACACAGGCCAGCTCATTTCACTGCTTGCCCACATACAAATCCTTCCCCGTGTCAGGAGACCCTACCTTCTCAACCGTCAGTCTTTCAAAGCTCAGCCTGAGAAGGCCACCTCTTCAAAGCAGCCTTCCTGCCTCTCGAGGTTGAATAGGCAAGTGCTCCTTTGGGTTCCCATACACCCTGAACCTTCTAGAACAGCATTCTTTGTATCCCAGGGTGATCTTGCATGCTCCTGGGACAGGCAGATCTCATCTGTAGGTTCTGGTAGTCCAGACTAGGGCCATCCACCTCAGAAGGATACAGAGAAGCCAGAATTTTACATTTCTATGAAAAGCATTCCAAATTTCTAACATTTGGCAACTTACTGAGATGGTTAATATGCTGTTTTCAGGACAGTTCTGACTGGGAGAGAAGAATTCCTCAGATGGAGTTGGCATGGGAGCCTTTTGACATCTTTTATGGAATCCAGGCACTTGACATATCTGGATTCCCGATGGAGGGGAGGTTCATATACAACTTTTTTTTTTTTAATGGTACTGAATATTGAACGTGGAACCTCATGCATGATAAGTGAATGCTCCATTACTAAGCTACACCCCCCAACAGTGGCAGATTCTCAAGGGCAGGGGCCATCTGGGTAGTGACATTCACCCAGGCTTTGCCAACACAGCAGGCAGCCACCTGAGGGAAGCAGGGAGGAGGAGGGTGGTGAATTTGAGGCCAGCCTGGGATTGGCCACAGTGCCTCAAACAAAACAGAAGAGGGGCTGGACAAGCCAGGGGGATAAGAGAGAAAGAGAACAGCCAGCCCATCAGCCAGTGCCTTTCATTAGTTATGAAAAGGACAAAATTTGGAAACATCTTCCCGCCTTGCTTTCAACCGTCACTTGTCTTAGTCTGGCCTGCAGTCTGGAGGGTCCGTTGAGATTCTGTCTGCTGGGGAAGTGGTAATGAACCCAGCTATTCACTGAAGATGGGCTGGTTAAACGGAGGGCAACAGCGTGACTTTTAACCAGAATTCCACTTTCAAAGAATCCTTCTCCTCTTTTGCAATTACTCCTTTGAAAGTGGCAAGCTTTGAGATAACTGGATCTAAGGACAACTAACTAGAGTTTTGACCAAACTCCTCCACCACTGTTTACTAATGATGCTAACAATTCCATACATCCAATCAAATGCACACCCTCCATGATCTTCTGTAATGATCATTAATAACAACGACAACAACAATAACAACCATGTCGTTCTCTATTATCTCTATCAAAGTCCTCCCTGTAAACCTGGGAGGTAGGAATAATCACCGCATTTTACAGATAAGGGATCCAAAGTTCTGAGACAGGACATAACTTGCCCAGGGCCATCCATCCGGGTAGAGGTAGGACAGGATTCCAACCAGACCTGCCCTTTTCTAATGCTGTAAATCAATATTACCACATTTCAGGCCCTTTTCTAATGCTGTAAATCAATATTACCACATTCCAGGCATCAGCACAACTCTTCCCTTGTCTCAAGACAATCAGATTTGTTGACCTTATCCCAGGACCAATGGGGCTATTATTTAATTAATGTTTATCTTTCAATAAATTAGAATCTTAAGACCAAAAACAAACTTATAAAGTGAAAGGCAAGTCATAGGATTGCTCTGAAAGCAAGGAGAGTGGAGGCAAGGATGGTATTTTGCAGCCACATTCTGCACCCTTCTGGATGTGGAAGCCAAGTGCTCAGTCTCTGTGGAGGTGATTTTGTGTTAGTCTCCTGAACTCAGAGGAAGGGATGAGGACCATTGCCTTTGGGGTGCCTGTGTTGTTGCCGCTGAGATGTGACTTGGTCTGGGGAAGACCTGTGTGGCAGCTTCAGCAAAGCTTTCTTGTGCTGCCCAAAGGCCCCAGGGACTTTGAGCAAGCATGACTTTCATAAGCCTCTACCATTATCCACACCAATAGTGTTAGTTCTAATTGCATCATGATGATGGACCGTGCTTCCTCCCAGGCCACTCATCTGCTGACTCACACTCGAGTCCGGCATCAGGCAAGAAGAGAGGATTAATTGCTCTCCTTACATTTTATATCCACAATCCCATTTAATCCTCCTAACCCCTGAAACAGGGATTATTAGCCCTCAGTTTCTGATTGGCAGAATGAGGCTTGGCTCAGAGAAGTGGGTAGACTTGCCTGAAGACACACAGCTGCTACGGGATAAAACTGGGGCTCCAGCCTCCCCAGACCAACCACTAAATTCTCCTCACAGCTTCTCCACTCTCTTGGAAACCTTAATCAGACATCTTTCGGACACGGCCTGCTGGGAGATGGATTTTCTCTTCCCCCCCATCTTCCTCCCGTCCCTCTCTCCTCTACCTCAGAAGGTCAGACACAATACTCCCGGCTACCAAACCTGGTTTGACCAGTGACAGGGATGAGGGACCCAGAGGGGAGAATGACCTGTTCCAAGTCACCTAGCCAGTGAGTGGCACACAGGAGTTCAAACCCTTCTTCTTGCTTGCATCTGGAGCCTCTTCATAAACTTGCTTGCCTAAAGCCACGAACAGTGGCAGAGTGGTAAAGGAAAAACGTACCACTTAGATTAACTTACAATACACAGAAGATATTAAATCTGTGAGTTATATTATCATTATCAGAATGGCTTAACTATAGTTCAAATTTGGAAAACTCATTAAGTCCTAAATCCTTTAAATATCCTTTCTATAGAATTCCACCCACTCTGGTCTCCAATTTAAACTGTGGTGGCTCTTCTTTTCTATGTGAGAAAGGTCAGGAAAGGGTGGAGAGAGAACAAACACCTGAACAAACACGATTCAAAAGGAGAAATTATAAGTATCTAGGGTTTCCTGTGAGCAAAATGAAGATAATATTAGCAACTCTGTGATAGTGCTGTTGTGGGCTTTGGTGAATTGGTCTGGGCCTTGTGCTTCCAACAGTGCCTGGCCACACAGTGAATGCTCAGAACGCAGCAGCTGCCATCGTTAAGGGCAGCAGACCCTGGGGATGTCACCTTCTGTTCTCTAAATACCTTGGGGTGTTTTAACTTACAGAAACACGGGCTGGAGAGATGGCTCAGCAGGCAAAGGCGCTTACCACCAAGCCTGACATCTTGAGTTCGAGCCCAGGAACATACAGGGTGGAAGGAGATAACTAAGGGATGCATGCAGGTTGTACTCTGCCTTCTTGTCATTCTTCATGGCACAGGTACATAAACATACATGACAGATAGATAGACAGATAGAAAAAAGAACTATAAAAACATGATTTCCTCTAGAAAATATGGAAACCCAGCAAGACCAAGACATTGCATTAACATGGGTACAAAGTAGCAGTGTCTCTGGACGCTTTAAGCCACAGACAGAAGTCATGCTGTACGCAAACCGAGAGAGAAAGAGAAGGTAGTTCCCAGCTGGGGCCTGTCTCTCCTGAGGTCTAATGCCAGCTGGGCCACTCAGTTGCCGCTTAAACCTTGGGCAGGTGAAAAACTCTCCAGCTACAAAATGAGTAGCTTCTTCCTTGGGACTATGATGATAATTAGGAGGCTAGAGACATTTTGGACACAACATGGAATGATTACTTCCTGACCCAGCATCACTTTCAATTGTTGAAACACAAACAGGGAGATCCTCACAACTCCAGGTTCACACCAAAGTGAGGGTAAAGATTCCTTCCAGGGAGCAGGCTCAGTCCTCACAACTCCAGGTTCACACTGAAGTGAGGGCAAAGATTCCTTCCAGGGAGCAGGCTCAGTCCTCACAACTCCAGGTTCACACCAAAGTGAGGGCAAAGATTCCTTCCAGGGAGCAGGCTCAGTCCTCACAACTTCAGGTTCACACCAAAGTGAGGGCAAAGATTCCTTCCAGGGAGCAGGCTCGGTCACCACCTGGACTTGATTTAATCAACATTTATTCATTATGCATTGTACTATGCTCAGAACTCTTCTGTGCTCACTGGGCACAGTGCTGGCTTCCTTCCTCATGACAAGTCCTACCCATCCCTCTAATCAGGTCACCTTGTATTCAGGCCCAAAGAAGGTCCCCAAGGACACGAGGCAACTCCAGGTCCCACCTCCTTCCATGACCATGGGTTGTTGCTACTTCTCCCTCAGCAAGCCTGTAGGTTATGCACTAGTGGGTTCATTTCTTCTTTCTCCTTAGGCTTTTTGAGATGGGGGCGGGGGCGAGTGTGTCTCATGTAGCCCAAGCTGGGCTTGAACTTGCAGCAATTCTCCTGTCTCACCTTCCCCAGTGCTGGGATTCCAGGCATGAGTCATGCTCTGCTCTGAAAGAGGAAACCGAGAAGGCAGTGGTTACAAGTGACAGGAGGGTTTCTGCTTGCGAACAGGTCAGAACCAGGGATCACTCCCCTGGGCCACGGTCACATCTGAGCCAGTGTGGGCTGAACACTCCAACTGGCCATTCTCCCTTCAGGCTCCAGGCCTGGAGAGGTGCAGCTTGTTTGTTCACGAACCTCACTCCGCAGACCCTTGTCCTGGGCATCTTCCAGGGGTCGACCTCTCAGGCCCCTCTCTTTTCTAACCCTCAACTTCAACTGGTGGGAAGTCAACAAAACACCTCTCAAGACGCCTTTAGGAATCTACGTAGGGCCGCAGCCAAAGCCCTACCCCTGCGGCCCTTTGTTAAGCATCATAAGCATGTGAACAAGGGCTAAAGAAACACTGCTTCGACCCTGAATATCCACCTAACATCCCTGCTGAGTAACTAGGTGCGGTGGGGTGGGGAAGATGGGGTGGGGTGGGGGGGTTCTCCAGCTGCCTGGGGATTTGTCTGCCCAGTTGGTGGTTCGATCTGCCCTATCCCCTTCTTCCCACCATGCGCAGGTAAGGAAAATGAGTTCAGAGAGGAGCCATCTTTTGCCCGAAGTCACACAGCGAATGTCCGCGGAGTGGAGGGCAGTGGTGGAATTCCTGGCGGCTCTTGGCGCCCATTTGTCTGCCCGCTTCTGATACCCGGGTTCGGAGAATAGGCCTCTAACAAGCGGCCCATTAGAAGGAATTGTCACTCCTCCGGGAGTGAGGTTGTCCCATTAGGGCGAATTGTCATTCCTCCTGGAGCGAGGTTGTCCTGGCTCCGCGCAGGCTGAGTGCCGGGCCGAGAGCAATTAACGCGGCTCCGGCGCGGGCAGCCGCCTCTGCCCGGGGCAGCGGGGGCGGGGCGCCCGGCGCGGCTGGAGCCGGTCACCCGGCGCAGCCCCTTCCCCCGGAGCCCGCCTTTCATCTCCCCGCGCCTGGCGCCTACCCGCAGCCCTGGCCCGTCTACAGCCTTCTCTGCCCCTCCCCCGGCCCCTCCTAGCCACTGGGATCCAGCGATTGGGGTTGCAAACGCCCAGGTCGGTGCTCAGCGCTTCACAGTTTGCAAGGAGTGCCTTCACCTTGGAGTTCGGGGCGCGCGTGCGCCGCTGCTCCACGAAGGGTCCGGGCTCCTGTGAGAGGCATCCGGGGAGTGGGGAGCTAGGGAAGATACAAGCTTAGGCCCAAGAGGAATTCAAGGGTGTCTCACCTCCTGTTTGCATGATTGGGCAGCTTCCTACTCCGAGGCTTTTCAGTGGTGAGACAGAGATATAGTCTCCGCCCGTAGTGATGTGTTTGAAAAGCAAATGAGATCCTGCTTAAGTTCAGGCTCTTGGGCAAGGTGTAAAGGTGACGCTTCTTGGTGTCTGGGTTCCGGTTGGACCCCCATTCTAACCGCTTCAAGTATTAAAGCTGCATAAACATTGTCCCAACTACCCCGGAGTTAACGTTTACTGCGTGCGTGCGTGCGTGCGTGCGTGCGCCCTAGGTGTCAAAGCCAGTCCTCCGCTCTGGGAAGACACCCAAACCTGCACCTTTTTCAGGCTATGAAAATCTCTACTCTGGGATTTTACAAAGGACCTGCCTCGGGGTGGGTGAAGGCCGGTGGTGGTTCCTTTTTACCCCCCGCCCCCGATGCCCGAGACAAAGAAAGCGTTGGATAAGAATTAATGTTGCTTTTGATATACAATATTATTTCAAAATTAATTTCCTACACCCACTACTTTATGAAACCTACTGAAGCTAATTCCCACAAAAGCCATCCGAAGGAATGGCTGCTCTCTACTTTTGAGCCACGGAGAAGACGTGAATAAAATATTCTGAGGGTATGAAAAACTCTTGGAGCAGATGGGGCTTTCCATGAATGGCTAACTCGGTGTTCAGGCTCTTTTCCTTCCTGGTCCCCACCCTAGCAGAGTTGGTGAGGCGCCTGGCATGGGGATGCGGAGCGCCAGCTGTCCCCTTGACCATGCGTCCTGTTCATGGGCAGAGCTTGGCACCCTGGAGAGGAATACTAAATATTCCTTTTTCTCCCCCATCATCTTCCTCTGCGTCTTATCATTTTCCCCAAATAGTGAGGGAGAGCCTGGATTTTCCTCTGCCAGAAGAAAATTAAAATAAAAGCATTCCAATGGAATTGATCTTCCCTTCCTTTTTTAAACTTCCTAGGAATCCGCCTGTGCCCCTAAACTGACACATTTTAAGGATGGGGTTTTGGATTATTTATAAAGCATTGGCTTGGTTCAGCCCAACTGAAACGTGAACTTTATTGTACACTTTGGCAACTGAGAGCTAAATGAATTTTAGATTTGCTTCCAAAATATGTCACCCCACATCTTACCTCATGCCTTGAGAAGACACAGACTTGATCTGGATTTACCTGTATTGTATTTGAGATTCCTATCATCAGATATGACTCCAGGGAAAATGCTTGCATCTCCAGACAGCTTTCATAGTCTTCTAGCTTTCTCTGGGATTCCAGTTTTAGCAACAACAACACAGTGCTTGTATCTTGTGGTAGAAGACGGTTCCAAGAGTCTTTCTGAAGACCCGTTTAGAACTTAACTTTTAAAAAGCTTTTCCAAAACTGAACTGAAGTATCTGGTGAAGGCTTTTTATCTTCTAAGATTTTCCCCACTTGAGTCTCTTCAGACCAGTGAAGTTTCACTCCAGCAAATGTCTGGAGTGAAGGACACGGTTTCAGAGAGGTCCTCTGAAAAGAGTTTAAGCATCTATATGTCTAGGAGGTCAAGTTTCTAAGAGACCTGAACTGGGAGATACCTGCCAAGCTTTGGTCATTCAAACAATTTAAAACAATGGCACTTCCCTTCAGTGCTGGAGGAACTGTTTAGGAAGCCTTTGCTGTTTCTGGCCCTGGGCTGAGCAGGATTCTCTTTCCTCACCATGGTCTTTTGGATATAGGAAAAAGCTTAGGAGGCCTGAAATGGGTCGTTTGATGCGATCTGTCTAAGACTGCTGGCCTTCGGGCTCAGAACCATTCCAGGCCTCTATCTCAAAACTCTCTTCTCCTTCAATGCATTGATGCAGTTAGTCACTGATGCTTTAGGACTTTCTTCAGTTAGAGAGGGTGATTTAGGGTGGGGTATGGATAGGTATGCAGCTTAAAAATTCAAGTCAGGTGAGATGTACTTTCCTCAAAGATATTCAAGCTTGGGGTTTGCAAATTTGAATCCTGTTATTTCCAAGATATGCAGGGAGAATAAAGACACTAAATGTCGCAAGTACCCTTCTCCCCTGCCAAATGCTGGCACCTGAACCCCAGTGACAAACACAAGCTCAAAAAACTCATGAACACGCATTTGAGAGGAAATTCAGGGGGCAAGAAAATACACGCATTTCCAGTTTCTAAAAATAGTACTGTTTGGAGAGAGGAAGAAATTGAGACCATTTGTATAAATTAGCCACTAGGAATCAATTGGCGCCGGGTCTGCTGGCGCACACCTATAATCTCAACACTCGGGAAGAGGCCAGGGGTGATCTCAGCAAGTTCAAGAGCATCCTGGGCCACATAGTGAGCGACTTCTAAGCTAGCCAGAGCTGAAGAGCAAGAGCCTCTTTTAAAGGCAAAGGAAAGGCAGGGAAGAGATTAGTTGGGCATCTCTTGGCCCCCTTATCCTGGGTCCCTTTTCTTGAAGAATGAGTGAAGGTAACAGCTAAAGTCTTCTTGGAACACCCTCCAAAAACGCTTGCTTCTAAGCACCACGCCTAAACTATTTTCATTAGCAAAGATGCTGGCCACTGTTTTCCACTATAGTTACAAAGTTACACTAGTTCGGGCTCATAGTAGGAGCGTTATAAATGTTCCAGAAATGCCATCTGCGGATTTCCAACCTTCCCAGGCAGGAGCGTGTGGGATGGGCACCAGGTACACTTAAAAGAGGGGTTAAAAGACAGAAGAAATGGGACTCGGCAAGCTTCCTCTTTAAACAATCGGCTTTAATTACGCCTTGGACTTTTCAGTTTGGGCGATTATAACCCTTGAGGGATCGCCTAATAACAACTCTGCTGACTGCTCCTGTAATTAACTCCTAATTTATTTCAAACGGGGGGCGGAGGGTAGAGGGCCGCAGCCTCTCTAGAGAGAGCCAATCAGAGGCGAGCGTCCGTGGCGTCAGGAGCAGGGCCGTCGCCAATTGGTTGAGCCTAGTCTCCCACTTCCCCTCCGAGGACAGGCTGGGCTCCCGGCGCGCCCCTGCCGGCTCCCCCCCAAAAGTTGGAGTCTTCGCTTACAAGTTGCCAGCGGAGTCGCGCGCCGAGAGCTACACGGCGCAGAAAGTCATGGCTTCTCCGGCCAAAGGCAGTGACTTGTTTTCGTCAGATGAAGAGGGCCCCGCGATGCTGGCCGGCCCGGGCCCGGGACCTGGGGGCGCCGAGGGCGGCGCAGAGGAGCGCAGGGTCAAGGTCTCCAGCCTGCCCTTCAGCGTGGAGGCGCTCATGTCCGACAAGAAGCCGCCCAAGGAGTCGCCCGCGGTGCCATCCGACTGCCCCTCGGCTGGCGCTGCCCTGCGGCCGCTGCTGCTGCCGGGACACGGCGTCCGGGACGCACACAGTCCCGGGCCTCTCGTCAAGCCCTTCGAGACCGCCTCGGTCAAGTCGGAAAATTCCGAAGATGGAGCGGCGTGGATACAGGAACCCGGCAGATACTCCCCGCCGCCTAGTGAGTGCGCGCCGGGGACCGGACCTGGGCTGGATCCGCGCGTGGGGTCCCAGAGGGGCTGGGGACAGGTGTTAACAGGATGATGCTCTTGACCCCTTGGTACCCCAGTTCAGCGAGCGGTCGCATCCCAGAATCCCTAGCTGCGCCAAGTCTAAGATACCTGCGGGCTGGCTAGCATTTGAAAACCAAAACCCAGTTGCTGGTTTCTGCAGCCCTTACCCCCCTGCTCCGGACGCTTCATGCTTGTGTTTCACTGCCTACTATGGTACCTGCCCGGGCAGTAGGGGAGAGTCACTGTTTTGTTTCGTTGAGACAGGGTCTCTTGTGGGCCGTGCTGGCCTCGAACTCGATGTGCATCTCAGGATAGTCTTGAACTCATCCTCCTGCCTCTAAGTGCTGGAATTACTGGCGTGCATCACCACGCCGGGATGGGATCCACTTCTAATGAGTATCGAAAAGTGTTTTACTGACCTTCAAAATATAGAGGCAGCCCTGCGAAGTGCGCCCCACTATCAAGATTAGACAATTGGGGGTTAACCAGAAGTGGAGGGGAAGTCGTTGGTTTTCTTCGAATTCCAGAGTGCCCAAGCCAGATCCTACGAAGGGATGGTCGCAGAAACAGATTCGGAAAGGAAGTTTCTCCGTGTTCTAGTTCCTTGTTGGTTATGTTCTGAGTTTTGCTGCGAGCTAGTTAGTTCGGGCCAGACCCTCATGGGCTCTCCTGGGCTCACAGTAATAATTACCAGCATTCCTTCAGAATTTGAGAATATACAGTGTGGTGGCCACAAGCTCACCACGTTTGGCTGCTTGCTAGAACCTCAGAGTACAGGCGGAGGCATGCCACCTGTGGCTACCTCTTCAGACATGGTGGCTAGTGCTTTTCAGAGGACGGCCCCTGCTTGTCCCAGGTCACCATCCATGCTTGCACTGGGCATGGGGATCTGGTGTCCATGCTTTCTCCGACCCTCCATCACAGGTGCTGGCTGCGCTGATCCTTTTCACCTGCACCCTCCTTCTCGTGAGACTGCTTATTGCTTTCCCAGGCTTAGCATCCCTTTGGGGTCCTGGGTCCTCTTCCTATAACATTTGTGGGGCCCACTCCCTGCAGCTTTGTTTAGTTTTATCTCTGCCTCTGAGATTTATCTGCTCTCTTACCTTTTTCCTCATCCCCTTGCCTACCCGTCACTAAACTCTGGGAAAGTTGAGAAAGGAGAGGGATTGTGGAGGGACTTTCCAAGCTCAGCCTGAAGAGAAGCTGTCTTCACTTCCACCTTTCAGCCCTCGGGACTAGAGATATATGGTATTTTGTGAACAAAACAAGACCATATACCCAGGCGTCAGTGGCTGTCCCCTCTGGCAGTCTCTCTCCACCCTGTTGGAAATTCTGAAAGGCTGAAAGGGCCCAGAGATTAAGGACTTAAAGAATTTAACTCAAGTTTGCACAGCGCTTTTCACTGCATTATCTTATCTGATCTCCTTTGTGTGGCAGCAGAGAGCCTCTTGTTAACAGATGAGGACGCTTCTTAGCAGAGTTCAGAGGGATCAGCAGTTTGGGCCCATGAAAAAGCTCTTGGGAACATTTATTTACTCACCCCCCCCCCCGCCCCCAGTGGGGTTCTGGGCACTCCAAAACATAGTACTCCAAGCCACCCCAGGGGATAAGTAGTATTTATCCATTTTATTGACAGTGAAATGAAGGCTCAGCAACTTGAAGAGTCTTAACTTGTTTTACAAATTTGGAGTGCCTGTGTATTCGTAGGCCCCG